TATGAACAAGGATAAAAAGTATATACAATAGTACTTGGCGATTGTTATGTAAACGGAAAAGTAATGTAATGAATGCAATTTAACGTAATTTGAATATTTTTTCTCTACTTCAGTTTAATGAACATTCATATTCCATTGTCTTCCTAACAAATATTAACATATTCCCAGGAAACAATATACGGAGACCAACATATTTGTAATTTCTGAAACAAACATGAAAACAGAGGAGAGCTTATTGCCTATTTAGTGAATGTTACCAAAGAATGTACACAGGTTTATTTTTTGTCTTTATTTTATTACTTATTCCGCAATCACATATTCTAAAGCATTTCATATTCAAAATCACAAAATTGCAACTTCGTCTTTCTAGGTTGCTAAATGCCTAGCCTTTATCCTGAGGAGGATACCGAGAAAAATCCACAGTGATAGACAGAAATGTCAAAATCTAAAGGTGCGTTAAACAACTTTCAAAGAGAATTGACACAGAGGCAATAATGACAATAAATCTACAGCTTTCAAGAAATAAAATGTTCAAATTGTGTTTACATTGTACTTGAACATTTTCTCAAACAGCAGGTTAACTCTAGCGACGCTTTGAGCAAGCAGGTCCAGGCAAACCAAAGAGCATCACACATGTTCGAATTCATATCACACCAAGGAGTAGAATGTTTCCCAATGAGATCATAATGAGGATCATAAAATGACCTGATAATATTTATCTGTCTGCATCTCTCGAAACCCTGTGTGTTGTGAGTCTGTCAGTTGCCGTCATCAGTTGCGAGATGTAAACATCATAAGGGGATGCGAGAATTTGCTATCAAGAAATGGAAACTTCACAAAAATAAATTGAAATCTTCCCGTTTATGGCACAGCTTGGTGGGAAACAGTCACTGTTTGTTATGTTGTATGATAATGTCTAAGTAAAGGCCTGTATGTAGAAGTATGTCGTGTACTCACTTCTCAATTCTTGTGGGTGTGAATCTTTTTTAAAGCCAAGATGTCATCAATATATCCGAAAGTGAAATTGACTATGTAAAGTCTTTGCGACCGGATAACCTCTTCAATACATTCAGCCTAGTATCAAACCAAACACGAATAATCCAAGAGAGCGGCACAGTTTACTTCCATACATGTAGATATGTTTATAGTCTGTTGGAAGACTACTACCGAACTCGACGATGATATTTACAACCAGAAACATGATTTGTTTTCATTTCGTCGTCCGTATATTTGTGGGTGCATTCATATTTCTGTATCGCAGTTCTCCCTCCATGGGGAAGAAAACTCTCTAACGCACGAGAGCGTTTCTTTAGTTGTCAAGAGTTATAGTAGTGTGCAAAGTAAAACAATTGAAATGTTGGTATTGAAAATAAAAGTTCCAAAATGGAACGTTGATGATTGATATATACTCAGGGCTGTTTAAAAATACTAAACGATCGTTCAATGAATGAATGAATGGATGAATAAGTAAGTAAATAAATAAATAGATAAAACTAGCATGATCGTAACCATACTTAAAATAAATAAATCTTTCAGTATGTGATGTAATAAAGCATTACCTAGCTGACAAAGTCATCCATGCAAACTCATAACTATAATCATGGAGCTGTTACTCACAAATGTTGTGCTAAATTGCTTCGTTTTAAACACTACAGAGTTTTTATAATACAGGGATGGACTTTAGACTTTGATTTCAGTTAAATCATGTTGAAGTCAAAACATTTCTAAAGTCAACATTATCCAGCTAGCTGTACAGTTCAATTCTAATATCAATATTATCTAGCGATCTGTACTGGTCAGTTCTATTATCAATATTATCTAGCGATCTGTACTGGTCAATTCTCATATCATTATTATCTAGTGATCTGTAGAGGTCAGTTCTTATATAGACATTATCTCGCGATCTGTACTGGTCAATTTTAATATCAATATTATCTAGCGATCTGTACTGGTCAATTCTAATATCAATATTATCTAGTGATATGTACTGGTCAGTTCTAATATCAATATTATATAGCGATCTGTATTTGTCAATTTTAATATCAATATTATCTAGCGATCTGTACTGGTCAGCTCTAATATCAATATTATCTAGTGATCTGTACTGGTCAGCTCTAATATTAATATTATCTAGTGATCTTTACTGGTCAGCTCTAATATCAATATTATCTAGTGATCTGTACTGGTCAATTCTAATATCAATATTATCTAGCGATCTGTACTGGTCAATTCTAATATCAATATTATCTAGCGATCTGTACTGGTCAATTCTAATATCAATATTATCTAGTGATCTTTACTGGTCAGCTCTAATATCAATATTATCTAGCGATCTGTACTGGTCTATTCTAATATCAATATTATATAGTGATCTGAACTGGTCAATTCTAATATCAATATTATATAGTGATCTGTACTGGTCAATTCTAATATCAATATTATATAGTGATCTGTACTGGTCAGCTCTAATATCAATATTATCTAGTGATCTGTACAAATCAATCCAATGTCAAGCCCTCAGACGCATTTATTTATGCATCGATTACACATTTCATCAATTACAACAGGAAAACGTTCGGTATTTCATGGTGCAAATAATTGTCAATGTATGTAGACTATGGCCGCACCGTTTTGTATGCTATTGGTATTTTTGGCGACTGTTACCACTCGCCTGCCTATAGATGGAAAAGATAAGCGCACAGAAAAAGTAACAGAGTTGCTAGGGGAAAATAGTTTCTAAAATGAGTGTCATATTCCCTGTGAACAATGGGATTACTATTGGTATTTCTTTGTCAATGTTTTACATGCTTGAAATACATTATTGTTATCTCTATGTTAATGTTGTCTTGCTTAAAACACTAGGCTTAACATTGTTATTTCTGTGTCAACGATTACTTGCTTAAACACACACTGTAACATTGGTATATCTTTGTAAATGGCATCTCATCCGTATTTCTATTCTATTTTCCCTTTCTGAAACCAAACTATGAAGAGCTTATCAAAACAGGTTACCTGTCGTTTCCGTTGTTCTCTACCTTGTTCTCATTTGGGACAGTGGCATTATTTACTTGGATTAGTCAAGATTTACATGGTGAGTGTCATCGATGAAGTCGATCATGCTTACTCTTCCGGAACACTTGGTCTTATTCTCCTTGTACCTGTTCATAAGTATTCTCGCAAATCTTTCCTTTGTTCATATTTACCCTGATTTTGTTGAATTTGAGTTTGATTTATGATTATGTTTACAGGTTGGTATTTCTTGTTTTCGACAACGTTTTCCTTCTTTTTTCTATTTCCCAGAAGCATTTTATTACAAAAACAAGATTTTATCACACATTGTGATCCATTATACTACATCCTGCAGTACAAATTCAATAAAGAACAGTCCGGTATTTTATTCTAACGTAGTAAATTTGCATTATGTATTGTATAACAGATCAGTACTTTTCTGAAGCCTCACACAGGCGACATTCTGTGAAACATTTCACTTACTTCTGTCATATAACACTATCTGCAGACGATACTCTTTTTAAATATCACTATTTAACATTTATTTAACTTCATTATATAAAATAATCACACATTTCAATTTTCTCTAAAATTACACTCATTTTATGGCAGTACAATTTCGAAACATTCGAAAAACACATTTCCATTTACGAATACTACTACACCATCACGTTAACTTAACATTGTACCTTTTTTTATGCATCTATCCTTCTTCGCCATATTCTCTCCAACAACACACTTTCATACAACACGTATCATTTTCAAAACCTTTACCAACAATTTATCAGCAATTCATATCACTTCTTTAATATGTGTATTAATAGTGTCAGTGCCAGATCCTTATTTCCAACACTGATTTGATCTGTGATTACACTAAATTAAGGCAGATTTCATTTGCCTCAAAATCAAATTTTCATAATGATACATGTTTTGAAATGCATCTTTGTTTTACTACCACTACTTAGTTGTATATGTAAGTATCATAAAGTTAATTTTTTATAATTGTTTCCGGTTAGGTCTACCATTCCTAGCACGATGTCTTTTTCCTTTCAGTTGAATGTTTGGTGCAAGGATACACAGACTATGTATGATATCGTTAATTGGAAAATTGAATGGATTACCAAACACATTTGTATCAGTATTATTGTGATTCTCTCAATTTTATAGCTGTTTTAATTATATATATAAATTTCTACACAAATATATTTGAATGTTTTGCAGATTTGCTTATTTTGTACTAGTCAAGATTTGTTTTTATAAATTATTTACAAACCTTCAGTTATCCTTGTGTTATTCTCATCATCGTCATTATGAAGTTAAGGACTTGTATCGAGTTAATATAGCATTAGTATGTGTTTGTCAACGATTACCTGCTTAAAACTATAACTTTGGCTCTCCTTTGTCGACGTAAAACTTCATAAACAACAAACAATAACAATGGTATTTCTTTATCGATGCTTACCTCTTCTTTGTCACCGTTTTCCTGCTTAAAACGCAAACTATAACGTTTACCTGCTTCAAACTACATGTATAACATTTGTATTTCTTTGTCGATGTTTACCAGCTTAAAAATATAACATTAGTATCTCCTGTCGATGTTAACCTTCTTCAAACTATAACATTATTATGCTTTTCTCGATGTTTACCTGCCTCTTTGTCAACGTTTACCCGCTTCAAACTATAACATTAATATTTCTTTGTCGATGTTTACTTGTTTAACCCGAGATATTATGAACAGCATTTTGACAGATTGAGATATACCAAATAGCTCTATGACTGAAGCGATGTGTTTTCTGCCTAGCATCAGAATCATCTAACCGTAGCTGTATTATTAGTAAACACACGGCTCTGTTGAAGTTTATTAGGTAAAACTCAACGACCAATCACCGGACGAGGATGTTATCAGAATGTCGAGAATTGGCGTTATGGTCCGGGCTGTAACACTGTACGCTAGTCAGTAGAGCAGAGTAAAGCGCTGAGCACACTCAAGCCGCTACAACGGACAACAAGCATGGTGTGACAGGCTACATACACTCGTGGTGCAAGTCACATATATTTATATATATATATGTATATACACACGTAACGAAAAAACACTGGGATTTACAAAAGCGAAACTAGTGTTTACGAATCAGCCATGTGGCTAAGTGTTCTACAGGCTGTGCTATGTGGAAGCTTATTCTTTACAATAAGTTCAGGTAAGTTGTATCATTTTTTTGCTTTTTTCTCTCTCTCTCTCATAACATAAGAAATAAAAGAGCAACAGGATTCGTGCCAGGTTCAGGTGATAAACTAATGTTTATTTACTGTTAGGTCACAACATATGATACCGGTAAAATGTGTTTAAGTCAATATTGACATAGGTATATTACACTGTGAGTGATATTGTGTATTGTAAACAGTAGATAAAGAGCTCTAGGAAGATCCTTTGCCTCCGATTTCATACTGAACACACAGTTTATATAGACTTAAAGACGACTTAACAACACCGCAGGCTACCTTGCAAAGGTATTTTGTATCAAATGTATTTTAACCCGTTTTTGTGACTTCCGTGAAACATTCCTTCAGTTCAGCCTATCCTTCCCCTATAAAATAAATGGGGATATGTATGTACAGTATACACATGGTCAAGGTGTAGTCTGGTCATTTACCTGTATCTAATTACAAACCTACCTGTGGTTGGTAGCAGTTCACTAGTATCATTCCGTTTATTTACACGCTATCTTTAAATGATTCACATTTCATCGGTGACATGAAAGAAAAAAATAAATAAATAGATAACACAACTTAAATATTTAACTCCCTGAGTAACAATTTAATCTTTATACACTGAAAAAAATATACGTGGAATAGGAATGTAAGTAAACTGGCAATTTTTAGTATACCTATATATACATAATAGATAAACAAACAGGTGTTGATCAATAGTAAATAATATGGTAGGTATGTATAGGACAAGACACATGCTACTCATCAGCAGGTCATTTAGTTACAGAGAGAAAAACTGAAATTTACATGACAGATACTGTGTGGAATCGTACACATTATATCAATAGAAATATCGATTCGTGCCACGCTATGAAAGCACAAAGATAACACGATTATAAATTATTTACGAGCCTTATATAGGAAAATGTCAACGTGTTTATCAATCAAATGAATAATTCTGTAAAAAAAAGAACCATTTAGGATGGAATTGACAATTTATTTCAATTGTTTCGAAATATCTTTTTCGTTTTCTTGGTAAAATTTGTCATTGTTTCATTGACAGAATAATCTTATCGAATTCACTGAATAAAAACCAAAACTATATTTCAGTACATTCTAAGATCTCAGTCATCTAAACTTCAAATTTGAATTTTTACAATCAAAAATGCCTCCCTTTCTCAATCTTTGTCATATTTCTTTTGATATTTCGATATTTAATCATTCTAGGTAACATTTCCTATAACCTGGTATCACAACCAATAAATATTGTTATGATAATTCACGTTGGTGTTATATTCTATATATAAGAAAATTGACATCCATTTTTGTACATCAATATATTTGATATATTTTGAAGGCTATTGCAAGGCCAAGATATCCTGTTTATATTTTCTAGAAGTCCTTAATGCAGTTTTTTTTTCTTTTGTTAAAATTTTGTCGTTGTTTCATGGAATTTTAGTTTGAATTATAGTTTTGTTGCCATGGTATTCCATTTTTTTCAATAATTTCATGTGGCACTCTATCGATCTTTGAACAAAATAATTAAACCTTGATACACAACAGTATAGTAGACCAATAGCAAACATGATTATTATAAAGTTGGACATAACTTAAACGCTGGAGTAGACCACCTTGGCGATGTTGCCTCTGAGTCTCAACAATATCGTGGGGCTGGACCTATGATCGTTAGTGGTAGAATGGTGTCTAATTGACATGTCTCTACCACTTTAGTAAGATATCCAACACATTATATGTGTTCAAAGAGTCTAGATGAGTACAATCACTTGAGCACCTTTCGGTTCCTGTACACAAGGCCATTCTATTGAAAATATAAAAAGCTTTGAGGTCTTACACTAATAACATAATTTCATGGGAAATATCACCACAAAGAAAAACACTTAATCATTAAACACAGGTGTAATGACAATTGATATATTAACTATATATATGTAATTAAAGAACTTTAAATGTTATGACAGCCTACTAGATTAGACAAGTTGATAACATTTTCTCGCTCTTTTCTATAAAACATTCTACATATTGCACGACGTATTTAAAATCATATACAGGTTTGAAACACTTCGTATTTTTTTTTTATTCTTTCTTAATTTTTTTGTTATAATATATTCTTATTCGTCCTGAATTACCCAGAAATATAAAAAGAACAACTTGTTAAAATGAAAGAATATTTGTGGCTGCGTCAGAAGAAGTAAGACCTCGCCTTTATCTAGGTTTTATTATATTCCGTTTATTCTCAGTCAGTTATATTGTACGCACCATCAAGACTTTGGTGTGAACATAACTTAGACACAATTTATAGTAGCTGTGGCGCTTAGAAGTTCCTGTAGGAGCCTAAAAAACCTGCGTCCTGCCCGATACACCGACGCCACACCGCTAATTTAATTATCAGCGCTGTGATAATTTTCACATAATACCAACTTCCAACACATCCTGCTAGTGTTGTGATATCGATAAAGAGATGGAAAAGTGTGTCTTGGTGAAAATTGGAACAAACACAGCTCTTCAGAACGCTTTCATTGCCCGATGTTATGTCAAGCCACAAAAAGTCAATATTCGACAGACGCTTGGTGATTGCGATATGAAAAAACACGTGTAGTATTATATTACTGGCGTAAACTTTTAGTTTCGTATTCAAATAAATAAATTACGCGTTTTATTATGACATTTATTAACAGAATGTAATTATTTTGAGGCGGCAGAATGTATCTCAGCCGCGAAAGGCATCTTTTGTAAAAATCGAGATAAAAACAACAACCGGATGAGATGGTAATTCCGAATTGTAGATGGCGATTTTTCACCAAGATAACTAGCTTCCTTTTTAATGTTTGTTTTTAATTATGGTTACGTAACTATAAAGACCTACATTTAAATTTGTTCAAATGATAAATATTGTACGATAGAAATGAATATAACTTAAATAAGTATGTATTTCACCGTATGAGGATGAAAAGACCAACAAAACCAACACAATAGAAAACTTAGTAGATTAAATCACGTTATCAGTACTGAGAGGTATAGTATAATCAGGCTAAAATTATATATACATTTTTGTGTCGAAGAACTTAAAGGCTTGGCTGTCAGAACTTGCTACAATGTTATAAAGTTGTGTACTAGATGAAATATACGTAAAATCAACTACATAGTAACAGTTTGTAGTCCTATGATTATATACAATCAATACTCCAGAGAAATAACCCATTTACAATATTATACTGTATACGTTTTAAGCCAATGCACATGGCGACCCTGGTCACAGGTCCCAGGTACTAAGGCTAGTCCTGTCACTGGTGTCGCGGGGACGGTGATATACATAAATACGTGTTACTCTCCACAGAACCAGAGATGCCCTCTCCTGATAAGGCTGTTTTAAGTTCAGTCTGTTCGCGATTAGTTTACACTAGTTTTTAAAAGTCTTTCCTTCAGACGTTGTAGCCGGTATGTATTTCGTGTCGATTCGTATTATGCACGTTGTAATAGGCTAGTAAATTGGGGGAAATTGGTGACCAACCATGTAGCTCGAGCACATTCATAAACAATAGATTTGCTACAAAACGTTGAATAGCTCACCGGAATCCACTCCTTTACCACAATTACTAACAGCACAAGTCATGATAACATCGTCAACCTCGTGGAGTCTTTTATGATACCTTAAGAAACAAGGCCTAGTGTTGTCCGATTTCACCTTTTTCAGTTAACTATAATTTTAAAGGACGTTTGTAATTGTCAGTATTTCCAACCCAAGGATTTCTCGTTTCTTTATTATCAATTAACTTTTGAACCTAAGATTTAAATCGACATTATGGAATTTTCTAAATAGCTTTCATTACTTTCACTTGAGTGGGATATTTTTTTTGATTATAACTAAAAGTTCCATGACATTGAAGATTACTTTTGACAGAAGATATTTTGATTTTAAAACTCCTGAACATATCAGACCAGTTTCTTTTATTTTTTATTTTTGATGTATGTACAATAATATGATAATTGATAACACGTGATTTTCAATTTAAAAAAAAAAAGAGAACTCCTGGTAATGTGAAAGCACAAAATGTGCATCGACCTGGCAACATCATAAACAACCCCCCCGTGAGGTTAGCATATTATAGTAAAATTATCATTGCTTAAATTGACGTCATATCTTTTCTGAAGACTGATCGTTGATAATTTTTAATTAGGTGTGCACATGCATAAAACAAATTAAGGCAAATTTGTATTGTAATCTCCGTGAGATAATTCTCTCATATAAGGCATATGCTATTGAGGAACTGGCTCAATTAGAAATTTTCTACCATTATTGGACAGGTGTAGAAAGGACCCAGGCATAATAGGTTTTGGCGTTTTAATCATATAAATTAACATTTGACCGTGTAGATAAAAGAGCTTTCTTACTTCCCATGTAAAGGAGTCCGTGGTAGTGATCTATTACATAATTATACAGTAATTATGGACTTACTTCAAACGATCAGGAGTGTTTGTAACTCAGAAAAAATTATCACTGTTATGTCATTACAGTAATTAGGGGTACAATGTTAACAAGCTTTGCACGTGATGTGAGTTAATTATACGTCATTATCACTACTAATGCCTCATTACAATAACACAACATGGGTAAAATGACTGTCAGAGGTACTTGTTAAATTGTCAAGTAGTTCATAACTTCAAACGAAAGAATGATATAGCTTAATCTGTGCTGTCATGCAATGTGTTTACGGCGAACACTTCCATGAAGTCCAAAATCTCCCCACGTGCAGTTTTTATCACGTGCACATTCTCATGCAGTCAGGCAATGTTGTCGGTTATAATTTATAGTTAGATTTTTTACACACCCCAAGGGAGTTATTTTCAGTTATGAAAACGCCGTAGATAAAAACTTCAAAGAAATTCAAAGAGCTGTCAAAATTAAACTGCTTTCCTGTTAATGTATTATTGCACGTATCTGTGAGATGCACGCACGTGTACTGATCTGAAC